GATGAAGAGGAAAGTGCCAAGAAAAAGCATTTAGATAAGAAGAGAAAACTGAAGGAGATGTTCGATGCAGAATATGATGAAGGAGAAAGTACATATTTTGATGATCTCAAAGGAGAAATGCAGAAACAGGCACAGGTAAGAAAACTCAGTTCCTCTTAGTCTCTTGCCAAGGCTGTAACAGACCTAACTTTGTTTGGGTCTCTGCTTCTGACCTGCTTCTGTGCCTTCCCTCCTGACTCCTGGGTCGAGATGCATGTGAGTGTGTTTATTAATACGGTGATCTAATTGCTCCTTCAGTCAGAAGTTCACCAGAAAAATATCATTACCTATTTCTTGTACCAAGCATTAGGCGCAGATGAGGCAGAAATGACTGAGACATGGTGGTCACTTTTGAGGATCTCACGATGTAGTGATTTGAGACAGTGTGTTATTCACTTCCCTGTAAGCGTTGGCTTCACATCCAGCTGCTGCTGCCTGCTTTGTGGCCCGTGTGGCTTACGCACATACCAGTGCTCTCCAGGGGAAGTTTTCCGAAAACCCTCCTTGGTCAGAGTGAGAAGGACATACTGAGTGTAAGGTCAGACGTGGAGATAAAGGGAGATGGTGTGGCCGTCCTGCCAGGGGGTGCTGAGCAGCTGTTTAAGGTGATGATCTCACTGTGAAGGAGACACAAAGATGTGTTTACAGTTGATAGTGAGTGTCTGAGCCGGCCTTTGTTAGTGGGGCCACCGAGCATCTCCGTAAGCTGGACCATACAAATTAAATATATGATTTGTGAAAATGTGGTTGAAAGGCTTTGCTCAACCTGGGCCTTCGTCTAGTCAAAGAAGTATCTCCCGATTAGTCATTAACTTAGTGGTTACAAGTCTGTGTTGATCTTTGACAGACATGAATGAGAAATGTAAAACTGGTTCTGAAGTCTTTGCTTCAGCCCATTTACAATTTAAGGTTACCTAGAGCCTTGTGGGCCCTTGTAAAAGACTTTGAATTTTCACTCAGTGAAGGGGGCCCTTGGGCAGTTTTGAGCAGAGGCCAGATATTCATGATCCGCTTCCCTTTGAAAGGATTGCGCTGGCAAAAGTTCAGTCACGTGGCGCCAACCAGGGAGGTGGCAGTAGAGGTGAGACAGAGCCACATCTGGATATACTTTATTTGGAAGCTAAATCAGTAGGATTTCCTAGTGGAGTGAGTGTGGGGTGTGACAAGTAGAAGTTACTGGAAGGATGGGTTGTCATTAGTTAGGTAGGAAAGCGTCTAGTCGGTGCAGCCTTGTCTGGGAAGGTGATCTGTGGGGTCAGGTAGGTTTGAGGTATGTTCAGACAAGTGGATGCCAAGTCTGGAGAGAGAGGTCTGGCCAGGGACTCAGATGCACTGTCCGCATCGTACAGATGACTATGTAAAAGCCACGAGGTGGCCCGGGGAGTGAGTGCAGAGACGGGGCAGGCGGAGCAGGACTGATGTGGTGAGAGGAGGCAGCAGCAGTGGGGCCTGAGCAGTGCCAAGAGGGAGAAGAAATCTCCAGAGAATGCCAGGCATACTGGAAGCTGGCTGTAGAAGGAGGTGAAACATCGTTCAGTTGTTACCACGATGGAGACAGAACTAACCACTGGAGTAGGAATGTGGAGGCCGCTAGTGCCTTGGCAGGCATTTCCGTGGAGTGGTGGGTGAAAGTCCAATTCTCGTGGATTTAGGAGAATGGGAGCAAAGGAACTGGAGACTGCTACCGCAGAGAACTTCTGTGGGGTTTGCTGCAGAGGGAAGCAGAGAAATGGAGCAGTAGTTGATGGAGGAAGTGGCATCAAAAGAAGGTTTTAGGGTGAGAGAAATAACAGAGGGAAGGTCTGTTGGAATAAAGGCCAGCAAGAATGGTTGGTATGTCGTGTGCAGCTTTAGTTTGGCATTAAGTAGTGGCATGGATAAATGATCTAAGCCAGAGCTCCCAGGTAGAACTTCCGCCTTCGTGGACACGCATATCCGTGCTGTCCAGTGTGGTAGCCACTGGCCACATGTCGATATTGACCACTTGCAGTGTAGCAAATGTGATTGAAGAACTGAATTTTAAATATTATTTAATGTTAATTTAAGTAGCCACACATAGCATCCCTGTTTGGCAGTGCAGAGTCTGGATACAAGTGCGAACCTGGTGCAGGATTGACAGTGGAAGTTCTTTCGGTTTTCAAGTGAGTTAGGAAACAGGCATCAGCTGAGAGTGAGGATGAGGGAGGAGCTGTCGGGTGTTTAGAGATAATTGTTTGGAGAGTAAGAAGAGGAGGCATGGACTGGGGAAGCTCTGAGTGTGGACGTTCAGGGCTCCTGTCAGGGCTGTTTCCATTTGCTGTATGTTGGAACAACAGAGAAGAAAACAGCTAGGACATATTCTGAACAAACTGTAGTGATAAAATTTATATAAAATATGAAAACAATTTATATTATTTTTAATAGGTTACAGCTAAATAATTCTGTCCCTGGTTTATTTAGAAGTACTCATTTTTTAATATTAATCTTATGTTTATTAAAAATATCAGCATTGTGAGTTTTCCCCCCCTCTTACATACAGCTTAATCGAGCAGAATTTGAAGATCAAGATGATGAAGCCAGAGTTCAGTATGAGGGTTTTCGACCTGGGATGTACGTCCGAATTGAGATTGAGAATGTTCCCTGTGAATTTGTGCTGAACTTTGACCCCCATTACCCAATCATCCTGGGTGGTCTGGGCAACAGTGAGGGCAATGTCGGATATGTGCAGGTAGGTGCCCTGTGCTGCATGTTTGGCAGCTGAGGGTCTTTGGATGTGCCCTCCACCGGGCCTCTTACCGAACTTTCTTCTTCCCTCAGGTGCGTCTGAAGAAACATCGCTGGTATAAGAAAATTCTCAAGTCCCGAGACCCAATAATTTTTTCTGTAGGATGGAGGAGGTTTCAGACCATCCCACTTTATTATATCGAAGACCACAATGGAAGACAGAGGCTTCTAAAATATACCCCACAGCACATGCATTGCGGAGCAACCTTTTGGGGTAAAACGTGATTAGAACAACTTGCTTGTAGGTTAATTTAAACCTTTAGGCTGTGTCATTATAGCATTGCTCTTTTCCTTTCATGAAATCCCAATTCATAAGATTTTTCTGTCTTTTGAGGGGTGGGGGTGTTGGAGTAAATATATGTAAGACAGAATCAGAATTTGTGGTTTATTGTATTTCCTTTTTTCTTGTTTTCTTTAAGGTCCTGTCACTCCGCAGGGAACTGGGTTCTTGGCAATACAGTCTGTCAGTGGCATGATGGTAACTGCCTTGATGATTTATTTTATAGATTGTGTTTTGGAAATATATCTTGAATATGGATTATTATGTACATGAAACTTTAAGTTGAAAATTACACTTTTTTTTTTTTTTTTTTTGAGACAGAGTCTCACTGTGTTGCCCCGGCTAGGGTGCCATGGCGTCATCCTAGCTCACAGCAACCTCAAATTCCTGGGCTCAAGCAATCCTTCTGCCTCAGCCTCCTGAGTAGCTGGGACTACAGGCATGCGCCACCATGCCTGGCTAATTTTTTCTATGTATTTTTAGTTGTCCAATTGATTTCTTTGTATTTTTAGTAGAGACGGGATCTCACTCTTGCTCAGGCTGGTTTCGAACTCCTGAGCTCAAACAATCCGCCCACCTCGGCCTCCCAGAGAGCTAGGATTACAGGCATGAGCCATCGCGCCCGGCCCAAATTACACATTTTTAATGTGTAATATGAAGTAAATTTCTTTTTGCTTTTAATCTTCCTATATCTTTTTAAGTAGGGTATGTGAGTAGCTATGGCGAAGTAGAAGCATTACAATGATACTGAAGATAATTTATTGTGCATTTTTTGGACGTACGTAGCTAAGAAAGTACTTATGCGGTGTTCATCGTGTGCTAAGCACTATACTGGGTACTGAGGATGCGGCCTAGACCAGCTAGACATGAGTCTACCCTCCTAGTCATGCTGGCTTAGCAAAGAGCGTTCACTCATCTTCATTCGACCCGTCAGAGCAAGTTTTATTGGCCCCATTTAACAGAGAAGAAAACAAAATAATGAGCAGATGGAATTTGCCCTGGAGGGCCAAAATTTAATTTCTTAAAACATTGCAACTGTATTTTTATTTTCCATTTCATTCCAAATAGATTGTGAAATTGTGTTCTTATGAAATCACTCTCAGGAAAGTACTCAAGTCATCATTAGTTTGCCTTACCAGTATTGAAATTTTAGATTGCTTCTGTTAAAATACTGTGTTTCATGTTCAGATGTTCTCTCTTGTTCTTTCTTAGCTGATTGTAAGTGAAGTGCACTTTGGTAATTTATTGCATCACAGAGAATTACAGTTTTTGTCTTGCTGATATTATTCCTATATTCAAATTTTGGGGTTCCTTTTAGCCTGATTTCCGGATAGCTGCCACAGGTGTTGTCCTTGATCTGGATAAGTCCATAAAAATTGTGAAGAAATTAAAGCTAACTGGTTTTCCACATAAAATTTTCAAGAACACTTCATTTATTAAGGTCCGTATATCTACATATTCACGTATTTATAAATGTACGTATTGTTAAAGGAGGAATGAAATACTCTAAATTATGGGTCTAATGTTTTTAGAAAAGTATTTGAAATCTTTTATAAACTGGATCTTTAATATTTTTCGTTTACTTTTTTGTGTTGGTCTCTGTGTTACTTAAATATGCTGAAAAATCTTAAGGTGAAGTAAAACATATTTAATAATTGAGGCTATTACTTATTGCTCCCATGTGAAGCTGCCACAGAACTGATATTGCAAATATATAATTTTATCCATTGGGTTTTATTTCCTACCTTTTTGGTTTGTGTTAAGAAAGGGGAAAAAATCGTATATTTAACCATTCAGTAGAAAAATAGACAAAAGCAATATATAGAAAACTTGGCAAGAGTAGAGCGAAATGGACACACTGTTCTGCAGTATTTTGGGAGATTAGTTTGAGCAGCTTTTATTGAAAATTTCATTAGGGGGGATGTTTCCATTAAAAACAGAGTTAAGATCATAAAATGTTCTTTCAGTATAATGTAATAATACCACTGGCGTTTGTCTAGCTCTTTTTACTTTATAAGTGCATGCACCTAAGTAATTGGATTTGAGCTGCAGTCCAACCTGTGAGATGCCAGCAAAGGCTACCTAGGCCAGTTCAGTCTAATAAATATCTTTTGACTTTCTCTTCTGCAGAGATACCCGTGATGAGTATGCCAATGAGCCCACAGTAGAGTCTTGATTAATGTTATTTTGGGGAAAATAAAATAGAGTTGTATTCTTTTTGAGATACTAATTTCACTTTTAGGGGGCAAAATACATTTTGATTATTATACCATCCTTAAATTAGTTGTTCTTGTTTTTTAACCAAGGATATATTTATGAAAATAGAGGTAAAGTGAGTGATTCTATGTGTATGCGTTTTTATTTTTATATTCCATAGGGAATGTTTAATTCTGCCTTGGAAGTGGCCAAATTTGAAGGTGCTGTGATTCGAACTGTCAGTGGAATAAGGGGACAGATCAAGAAAGCACTCCGGGCTCCAGAAGGAGCTTTCCGGGCCACCTTTGAGGATAAGTTGCTGATGAGTGGTAAATATCGTTGGTGGCGTGTTCAAGACAGTGTGTTACTGTTCGTTATCGTTTTCTGGCCAGAGTTGAGTGGAGGCTGGAGTTCCAGTCTCTACAAAGTCAGAGTCGGCTCCGCCTCTCCCCGGTTTGAGCAGGCTACGCAGCGTGACCATTCACGTTGTGTCCGCGGCCCCTCGGTCACCCTCGGTAAAGTGTCCTGATAGATGAGTGATTTACTTAGTGAAGTCCCTCTTCAAGTACTGTGCAACCAGGTGGAGAAGTTTGTGGTGAAATTTTGAATTTTTTCCCTTGGCGAAATGGATGTGAATCTTTTGAAAACGTTAAAGTCAATTTCCTCTCTTTCCAGATATTGTCTTCATGCGAACGTGGTATCCTGTCTCCATTCCAGCCTTCTACAACCCGGTCACGTCTTTGCTGAAGCCAGTGGGTGAGAAAGACACCTGGTCAGGGATGCGAACAACAGGTCAACTCAGGCTTGCCCACGGCATCAGACTGAAGCCCAGCAAGGATTCCCTGTACAAGGTATAGGTCGTGTGTGTGTCAGTGCAGATGGCGCACCTGCTCTTACGGATAGGGAGTCACAGGGATGTTTTTATATGTAATATCTTATGTGCTTTGAATTTTAAATATAAAGTCTAACATTAAATTTGAACAATTGTATATTCATAGACGATTTTGGAAAAAGAACATAGGAAAATGGTAACAGTGTTTTTTTTTTTTTCCTGAATTGAAAAGAAGACTTAAACTTTTTTTTAAAAATACATTTTGTGTATATTTGA